ACTTAAAAATAGTCCTAATTGGTGTCGAAAATATCAAGGAAGTGTTCAGATTGTCTTACAATTCTTTCTTCCATTCTTACGATTATATCCTAGACATTATTTATGATAAAGCACTTACAGCTAAGAACGTAGGAATATTTAAGTCACTGATTGTTCTAAGAGATTAATAATTATTTCTAACCCACGTACTAAATCATATTCGTAGTAGCTAGAACGTAGTAGTAGCGTAGCTAGAACTTTTGCCGCGAGGACAGTTCATGAATTTGCCGTCTCTCTTGGTATACAAAGATGTCACTGCAGAAAATGTGAAAACGCCACGTAGGGAAAAAAAATTTAAATTCAACTTGTAGAGACATTAGGCATTTTTTGGAAGCAGGCTAGATGAAAAATGAGCAGTCGCGTTCGCCGGGAATCGAACCACGGACCTCTGAAATACCGGCTCAGTATGCTGACCACTACACCAAGAAAGCACGCTAGGAAGGCCGGAGAAATACCTTATATACTCCCCCTTTTAAAGGGCGATTGGGATTTTTAAGGGACCCAATCGTCAAATCCTGGGTGGGGAGAATCCTCATCCAACACCCTTTTAGTTCGGGCGACTCTAGAGATATTAGGATTTTTGGGGGAAAGCAGGCAAGAAGAAAAATGAGCAATCGCCTTCGCCAGGAATCGAACCACAGACCTCTGGAATATCGGCCCAGCGTGCAGAACCACTACACCACGAAGGCACGCTAGGAAGACGGGAGAAATACCTATACTCCCCCTTTTAAAGGGCGACTGGGGTTTTTAGAGGATCCAACAGCCAAATCTTGTATGAGGAGAATCACCGCAGAGATATTAGGTATTTTTTTTTAAGCAGGAAAGATGAAAATTATTATTCATCTCTTCGAATTCTTTAGCTTGTAGAGACATTAGGTAATTTTTGGAAGCAGAAGAGATGAAAGATTAGCAAACGCCTTCGCCGGGAATCGAACTACGGGCCTCTGAAATACAATACCGATTCAGTGTGCTGACCACTACACCACGAAGGCACGCTAGGAAGGCGGGAGAAATACCTTATAAGCTTTTGTGTTTTCTGAAGAAAAACTTTTAATTTTTAATATTTAAAAATGTATATTTCGTAAAACTCTCCACGACATTGCAGACGTGTATTTGATTGCTTCCATTATATTATGAGCCCACCAGCGGCCGAGCGGTAAAGTCGCTGAACACTGGTAGTTCGGTCCGAGGTTCGAATCCCGCGAACGGGCTGGCTGCATGGGCGTTTTCGTGGTTTTCCCCATGTGTAACGTGTATACGAGCCAGTTTCCCTTAGAAAGTCCTCCCCACGAAAGCATCCCTCCTCTTAGGCAGATAGCCCTCGAGGCTTTGCCATAATCATACACTCCAACACCATTATATTATGTAGGCAGCAGAGAAAGATTTCTTAAATGCAAAACATATATTTGTAATTTTTAAATACTTCTTAAAACGATTTTTATTTAGAAAATGCTTTTTACTACGAGAAATTTTTACAGTAATTTAGAGGAAAGTGCACATCGGTATTACGATATTTGGAGCTTTGTTCTGGGAAAACGTATTTTAGAACAGCAAACGTTGAAAACAAGAGAGCTTCCATATTTCTGCTTCATTTCTGCCCTAGCAATATCGGAAATAAAACGTAAGGAAGACTCCCTTCCTCGGCAAGCTTCTATGCATGCTACATGTAAGTCTTCCTTACATGTGCTATCGTGATTAAAATTCACTTTATATTCTTAATTTGTATTCGAATGTTTCGTCGGAATAAAAATGGTGAAACAAAGTGTATGGCTGTTGAAATAACTTAATTGCCTACGGGAACAAGTTTGGGAAGAAGAACGGAAAACTAGTGATAAGGTAAAAAAAACTCTTCCAACTTAAACCTCACATCAATACGGACATACATCTTACGACCCATCTAATCAGTTGGTTTATAACAGGACATGGTCCCTTCCCCACATATTTTTACGAACGAAACATTGCTCCTTCCGAGTAATGTGCGGCAGGGAAACTACCTTATTTTTAAAATGAATAACACAAATAGTATAAGCGTCATCACTTATTTTTTTTTTCCAAGTTATAGAGAGACACTTAAAGTTTTTTTTTATTACGGCTTAAAAATAATATCATTATGGTGGCCTCCGTTCCGGTCAATGCATTGAGATAGTCGAGTTTTGAAGTTTCCACTTTTACCAGAATATCAACGGGTATGTTGTCGATTAGCAGCTTGAGTATTGCTCTTCAGTTGAGCCAGAGTCTTTGGATGTTAGAAAATTCAAATAGCCCCACAAAAAAACCACACGGGGCTAAATCAGGCGAGCGCGCTGGCCACTGACAATAGCCTCGTAAGGAGATAAGGCGTCCAGGGAAACTTTCTCCAAAAACTCATGGTCCAATGATGCCTATTCTGGACAATGCACACCAAACAGTCACACGTTCTGAACGGAGGGGCTGCCCATGAAATTCTCGGGGATTCGTGCCACATTAATGCATGCTGCAACCGGAAAGATGAGAATGAGCCTCATCTCAAAAGAACAGAAGGACATCATGAGGCGTGTTGTCAAGAACGGCTTTGCATGCATTTTTTCGTGAAAGAAAATCGCGTGGATTAAGTTTTTGCACCACTGCCAATTTATATGGATGAAAATGCAGTACGTTGAAAAGTGCGACTCCACGGAGAACGCGCGCTCCTCTCTCGTCCACTGCATGATCGGTACTAAACCTACATGTCATAAAACTTTAGATACCGCTCTTTTTAATGCGCGCACCCCACCCTTCTCGGAATAAATGTCGTTAAATGGCGCGCGTTTCAAATAAAGAAGTTTCCCTGCCATACCCTGTATATGTGGGGAAAGGGACCAAAACATCTTACCCTGAGACTAACATATATCAGTACTTGCAAATAACATTAAAAATCAAACAACTATGAAGAAAAATAGAACTCTCAATAAATGAAACTCTTTAATTGCCTTGACATAAAGTACCCATAATATACTGATCTACTTTAAATATTATTTTAAGATATATTTTTCAAAGGGTGCGATGGGGTTTCTCAAACAGATTTTATAGTTCTAAGGATTTCCTGAGTCGACGAAGTCGGAAGATCACTGCTATAGACCGGTGGCCTTCAGAAATGAATGATAACATTAACATGAACAAACGTGAACCGAATGATAACGTATAGCTTTTGATTACCGGTTTTCAAACTGAATTACAACTTAGAAAGAACAACATTTGCTCTCGAGTAACAAAGCTTATTGCGTTTACTTTTTAGCGATCAAAATGAGTTGTTACTTAGAATAACAAGAAAAAAGAATCAAAATTCGAAAACAAAATAATCACACACACACACACACAAAAAGGGGGTGGACAAAAATTCTGAAATGTTTCAGATTTTAAATTACGTCCAAAGGGGCGTTTTTTTTTTAACGTTTCGTGTGTTATCTTTATTTATTAAATATCATGTTCTACATACTCGAACTACAGCATTCAGTTCAACAGCAATATCGCAAATTACGCAAATTACTTTTAAAATGGGCATATCTTTAGAATTTCCGATACAGAGTCTCTCGAGCTGGAGATAAAACTTTTTTTTTTTTTTTTCCCCCGTACAGTGTTGACATTGCTAGCTTTAAAATCGTTTAGTTTCTTAATCAAAAATGCGTTAAAGTGCTACAAAATCTGAAATCGATAATAAAAGAAATTAAAAAATTTCAAATTCAAATTAGGGACTCCACATGCCCATATTCTATGGAAGATTACGTTATTCAAATTTGGATGGCTCTATGTACCGTTGTTTTATCACAATGCGAAGAAACATACATACATTTATGCAGATTCTTTATTATTTAATTTCTTTAAATAAAGACAGGGCGATAATATATGGTGGCAACGATTTGAAAAGTGATAAGCCTTTTAAAGTTTTCGACGCAAAATGCCAAAACGAAATTAATAGTTCTTCAGGGCAAATTGCCCTTTTGAACTAATAACTACTTGTTGCCATTCAACATAAAAGAAATATAAATATGAACAATATGTTAAATTTAATTTTACAAAATAAATAAACACGTGCGAAACATTAAATATTTGAAATAAAAATAGTTATTACTCTTGCCGCTACAAGCAATAAACGATAAGAAAAACGCTCTTCAAAATAGCAATGGAATTCGACCAACTGAATATAATTAAAAACATGCAAATACTTATTTTCATGGCATTTTAACAATAAAAAAAGAGATTACCAGCGAATTGTCTGCAAGCATTATGCAAAAGTTTATTTAGAAACTTCGTCTAATATTTCTAGAAATTACGTGATCGATGTTGTGCTTAGAGGACATTTCTTACACCATAATTTACAGGGAATGAACAGATTTTATCTTTATGTTCTTCAGAAATGATATGCTTAGATTTACCTTAGCAAGCCCCTAGCAGATATCTTATATCATCATCTTCTGTCTGAAGAAAAGAGATTTGCATCCGATCCTTCTAGTCTTATTAAAAATTAAACAAAAGATTGCATTTTTGCTTGCTTTTAAATGGTTAACTTAAATCAAAACCAAACAGTTTGACTTAATCTCCTACTCGGCCACATTTTTCGGTCACTTGGCAATTTTTTAAACTTATTTTGATCTAATTTGGAGAATTTACTTCGGTTTGTAAAGTTCATTTTGATAACATTAACATTCATTTCATTTAAGTTCATTTTGATAAGCTCATAAGATTCATTAGCGTATATATTCAAGTTCGTTTTGATAACATTAACCGGATTTTTGATTACAAGAATGTATGATTACAAGTTCTCCATGTTTGGGTATACAAACGGCAATTCCATAATAATATCCGAATGATAAACATAAACAGCTATGATGATGTTAAGCGGCGTTTACTGTAGTAATAAAAGGATGACAAACTAGCACGAAAACTAAAATGAATACCACATGGAATTATACGAGATATTCCTTAAAAAAGAAAAGTTCGCTTACTTCGTTCGAGTTTGAGATGCGGGGGGAAAAATCGCTGAGGACAGCAGCACCCTCTAGGCAGAAATTCGGAGTCGAGTTAAAATGTGACAAGAGAGAATTCTCTTCTTGGAGGAGGGTTAAAATGTTTTTGTCGCCACAGACAGTAGCCGGCAATCCGCGGTTTAAAACTTGGTTACCACGTGACCTGTTGCGAATGGCGGTTATTTAGGGAGCCTCGACTTGGCAGAGGGAACTAAAAATGGCTCGACCCGTAAACAGGGGCTTTCGGGGGCGTGTTCCACGGTGATGATTGAAATACCGTGGCCACTCTCGTTTTCAAGGATTAAAACAACAGCTGAAGGGGTGCGCACTTTGCTTTGCTTTCTTTTTACTTCCTCCTCCCCCACCCCCCAACCACGCGAGCCGTCATGTTTATCTCTCAATTGGATTATTTTCGTTTTCCGAGCATAAGTGATATGAGTGGAGGACTCTTTTTAACGCGTCTGAATCATCTATCGGGACAGTGCAGGAAATTTTGCCTCGACAGCCAGTGGTTGGAGACGCCTAGACGAGCATTAATGCACACGGCATCTTATTGCCCTGACACTCAAGTTTAAGCTTTTTCTATTTCATATTTTAGACATTTCTCTATGTATAGACTATTAAACCTTCCGCACATTTGTTCATACATTTAAACTTTTGGAAGCATCAGTTGTTGAACTTTTCAAGGACAGGCTTTTCTCGGTATGATTTTAAATGGTGACACTATTAATACAAGAAGTCAGTTTTCTCAGAAAGTTTTCTCAAGGGGTTGATGGTAAAAAAGGAGGGGCAGGAGATCCTCGGACCCCCCCCTGGGGTTTGTTCTCCCTCAAAATTGGGGTGGAAACTTTAACAGTTAGCTAGGTTCAGCAATACCTCAATTACCTGTTACTACAGAGGTGCTGACCTAGCTTCTACCTGTGCCTGTCAATAGACTTTATGCGAATTAGCAAGCAGCAAATGAAGTTCGGAAGTCTTGTCTTATGAGCCTACCTGTTAATGTTTATGTACTACGCGGCGCTGCCCTAGCTTTGAGCGATGACGGTAAGTTTTTCGAAATCTCAGGTAGAGGGATTCCTCTTGCTTTGGATTAAGGTGAATTGTGCAAGCTGACGACTTCGTCATCAGTTATGGCTCTTTTTGGAGATAAGATGCCGGAAAAACAAACACTCACTTTGGCCGATTCAGAAATATACGCGAGAAACTCTTGACAAAACCACTTCAACGCTGTTCATTTGGCAGGAATTTGATCGAGATAATGAGCCTATTGAATTGTTCATTATGTAGCCAATCTCACTTCTCTGGCCTGATCAATTTCTCGTGGAAAGGAGTGCAAGATTGCGCCTGACGTTGGCATCACCATATAGGTGACAGCACGACTGAGCCCAGTTTCGCCCCAGTTTTGATGGACCCCGGAAGACGATTCTGAGGGTCTTTCCCTACCACCAAGCCACTCTAGAGTGCTTTCGTCTCGTGCTCCGATGCCGCACAGACAACTATGACTTTTCTGGGATTCGAACTTGAGCTCTTTGGTACGGCATTCAGCGTCACTAACCACTACCCCATCTGCACCGCATATGAATATGTGAATGGATGTAACAATTGTAAGAATTGGAGGCTCCCTTCAGCTCAAAAGAAGGGGCCCCCAACTTTACACAAACGAGAGCAGCCAATAACCCAGCCACCCCCAAACAACAAACAAAAATACTAAATTAAAAATAAGTAAGCACATCTAACACAAAATTACAAACAAACAAAACCATAAACACAAATTCACAACATAGAACACCACAGATATCTAAAACCCATATAAATACAGAATTCAATTTTAACAGAAGATTCCTACAACCGCCCTATTTTCATTGACAAATTTCATTGGAGCAACAGTATATGATTTAAAAACTTTAAAATTAATGGCACTTACATTAAAATCAGTAATGTTAAAAATCTGTCTAATAGGGGCTGTTAAACTACAATCAACCACAAAATGCCTAGCATCACCATCAACTTAACAACTATCACATAGTTTATTTTCCTGCAGATTAAATCGGTTGAAATAAAACGGAAACCTACCATATCCAGTTAAAACCTGATTAACGTCAATACTGTTCATACATTTCATGTTCTTCGTGATTTTAATTAATTCCATAAATCCTTTGTTTTAGGTGAAGAGAACAACTGTAATTTCCATTTGTTAGCGTAAAACTCTTTCGTTCTTTGAATAGCAATTCTCTTCGAACATGTTACTTCAATTCCATTGCACTGACATTTGAGACCGCCTGCTTGGCCAGGCTGTCAGCCCTCTCATTACCAATAAATGTGAATGGATGTATAACACAATGGAGTATAGTGTATTGTTCCATTGAGTTGTTTAATTCAATTGACTAGAATGTTTATTGAATGGAAATTACTGAATACTGATTCAATTGACTAGAATGTTTATTGAATGGAAATTACTGAATACTGATTCAATGGACTGGAATGCCCACTAAATGCGTGTGTGTGTGTAATTATGGCAAAGCCTCGAGGGCTATCAGCTTAAGAGGAGGGATGCCTTCGTGGAGGACTCTCTAAGGAAAACTGGCTCGTATACACGTTACACATGGGGAAAACCACGATAACACCCATGCAGCCAGCCTGTTCACGGATTCGAACCGAACTACCAGTGTTCAGCGACTTTACCGCTCGGCCGCTGGTGGGCCTCTTCCTAAATGAATCCATTCAATGGAACATCATTTTTTGGAGGGAATATATTCGTATGAATTATATGAACAATTCGCTCAATACATCCACCTATGTTCATCTGAACATATTCATCACTTCATATCCATTTCATATTTCATTGTTCCACTGGACTAAACAACTGATATGAAATATGGATTGGACTATCACATATTCCTATGAAATTTCATTCAATGGAATTCAAATCTATTCAATCTAACATTATTTGCTCATATATCCCTATAAAAAACTCGATGCCAAATTTCATCATGACGTGAATAAAATTGTAGATTTCTATGTATTACAAATGGAAACTTGTTTATTTACGTAGATTGCGGTGACCATTCTTAAGCGCAACAGAACTGCAGTATCGAAATCCGGTAATGTATTTTTACTGAACTTAAATAAGAGCTTATTAAAACCAGGAAATTTTATTTATTACTTTTTTTGCAGTAATCCTGCTGACTACTTTTACCCGAACAAAAGTAACACTTAAAGAGAATAAAATATATTTATGTCTGTTAAACACAAAGCAAAATATTTTTCCTAAGAAATTATTTTTTATTTGCTTAAATACTTCAACAGGAGGTAAAACTTTCCTCGAGAATTTAAAAAAAAAAAAAAAAAAATTGGATCGTTTAACAAAAGTACATTTGTATTGTCCCCTCTTTCGTCGGTAACTAGAAAGTACGTCTGCCTAGCAATCGGAAGGTCAGGAGTTTGAGTCCCGGTAAGGCCTCTGCACCCTTTTCACGTCTGCTGCTGCCAAAAAAAAAATTAATAGTAGGCAACTGACTAATATTGTTACGGTTTTCGTATTGATTTAGCTATTTTTAAGTAAAATTAGTTAAAACTATTTTATATAACCGTGCAATGCAGCACGTGACGAATATTAAACTAAGCCGGAAAATTAAAAATACAAGAGCACGTGCATTTAACATTTAATAACTAAATATCTCTTTTAATTTTTATTTAATTCGAATAAATGTAATTGACTAGTGTGTTTAACTGTAACCGTAATTTTACTCTTTTTTGCTTTCGAGAAATTGCTAGAATTGTCTCGCGCGGCAGATTTAAAAAGCTATAAAGTCCAGAGAGAGACCAGTTCAATTTTGTTTAGAAAACTGTTGTTGTTTACTGTAGCGAATTCTCGGAAAGACTGGACTAGCTCTCTTTACGTTTGTTTGTTTAGAATTAAGTTCTGTTGAACGTTTTAGTAGTTTGAAATATAACTACTGTGAGATACTGCAATATTGTACGAATATCTGAGGAAATTTAAACATTTTGTTTTGTTTGTTTTGATAATAATAAATTTCTTTATCGGACTTGTGCGTTCAATTTATTACGAACACATTCGCACGCAACAATATATAATAAAAAAAAAAAAAAAAAAAAAAAATCCTTAGCCAATGAGAAAGTTTACTGTGTCACAATAGGAAGCCTCGAGAGGGATGCTGATACTTCTTACAGCTAAGCAATGATTCACGGAGTACTCGAAAGGACGGGATCCTTTTGCTTTTCTAACAATGCTCGTACGCTACATATTTCCAAGATTATATGTAGATACATAAAGACATGAAATAAATGATTATGACATGCGTAATGGCTTGAAATAAATTGTTTTCTATTGCAAGGCTATTAGTGTTGAAAACGTTCATCTAAATTAACTTTCTTAAAAAATATGTATTGATGCAAAAATGCTTCTTCGGTTGAAGCAGAACAACTAATAACACTTAGACTTATGGACGTTTAGGATATTACAATCCACGTTCCATCCGTTCATAATTGCATTCCTTTTCTTCTTAGATTCACCATGTTCCAAACAAAGATGCGGAACAACTGTGATACCCCATTTGGAGAACGAGGACACAATCAGCAAATATAAAGCCACCCTACAACGTTCTTCGCATAAGCAACGAATCTTCGACTTCGCTTCCCTTGTAATAAAATGTCTAACCCTGTAAGGAATTAAAACACTTTATTCTGTGGAATCGCCTGGTTTGGAGGTCAGCTTTCAATCTGGTACAGTGGAGATCTTATACAGTTGCGCAATAGTCATTCTTCCTAATGTCGACATAATAGAGCCCAAAATATAGGCTGTCATTTTAGAATAGGCTATTCATGGTTATTTTCCCACCGCCTACCTTGTAACCATGGTAATGATAGCTGCGGAAGACCGTTTTCGTTTAGCGCATTTCTTCTCGTGAAAAGCGCATGAATGAAATCAGCACTTAACCAGTCACCTAAATATAGAACTTTTCCTCTTATTGGACGAATGTACAAAAACAAAATCTGATGTGTAAACCACATGACTTCCTTGCAAGGAATATTAAATTATACGCATTTTTCCTTGCATTTCATTTAAACGTATTGGATTGAATTAAAGCTACTTCGTCGACCACAATAGAATAAATGCTCTCTTTATAAAAT